GAACCCGGGAGGCGGAGCTTGCAGTGAGCCCAGATCGCGCCACCGCGCTCCAGCCTGGGCGACAGAGGGAGACTCGTCTCAAAAAGAAAAAACAAAACACGAATTGGGAAGTGTGCTGCAGATAATAATGACATCATTAAAAGGTAACTATTTGATGCATGTGGGAATTTAGTATATGAGAAAGATGATATTTCAAATCAATAATCTTGACAGGGCGCGGTGGCTGCCCTTTGGGAGGCCCAGGCCGAGGCGGGTGAATCACCTGAGGTCAGGAGTTTGAGACCAGCCTGGCCAACACGGCGAAACCGTCTCTTCCAAAAATACAGGCGTGGTGGCGGCGCCTGTAGTCCCAGCTACTGGAGAGGCTGAGGCAGGAGAATCGCTTGAACCTGGGAGGCAGAGCTTGCAGTGAGCCAAGATCGTGTCACTACACTCCAGCCTGGGCAACAGAGTGAGTCTCCATCTCAAAAAAAAAAAAAAAAAAAAAAAAATCTTGTGGGGAATGTTTTTCTACATATGACAAAAGGTGCAGATGTGTAGAGAAAAATATTCATACATTTTACCACATTAAAACATTCTACCTGGAAAAAATATCAAACTTTTTAAAATGACAAGGTGGAAATATTTGCAACTTATATCATAGACTAAGGACTAATTTCCTTAATAAACAACTTTAATAAACCTGTAAGGAAAAGACCAGCAACCCACCAAAAAAATGAACAAAGTACTTAAGTTATTTAATAAAAAATGGCTCTTGGTTGTGTGTGGTGGCTCACGCCTGTAATCCCAGCAATTTGGGAGTCCAAGGTGGGCAGATCATGAGGTCAAGAGATCGAGACCATCCTGGCCAACCAACATGATGAAGCCCCATCTCTACTAAAAATACAAAAATTAGCCTGGCATGGTGGTGTATGCCTGTAGTCCCAGCTACTCAGGCAGCTGGGGTGAGAGAATTGCTTGAATCCAGGGGGCGGAGGTTGCCGGGAGCTGAGATTGTGCCACTGCACTCCGGCCTGGCGACAGAGACTCAGTCTTTAAAAAAAAAAAAAGGCTCTTAAATGTATGATACTCAGACCCCCTCAAAATAAGAGAAATGCAAATCAAAACTATGAGATACCACTTTTATATTACAAAATTGGCAAAACTTGAAAAGTTTGTAACATTCTCCATTGATGAGTATATGGGGGAAATGGGGGTACTCAAATGTATTGCTTATAGTTTAAGTTGGTACAACCTTCATGGTAAGTACTACGCATTGGTAAAACGCACTCCAACCTCATCTCCTACCGTTTCTTCTCTTGCACAATTTGTATTAGCCACATTGGCCTCCTGCTCCTCCTCAAACATGCAAGGCACACTCCAGCCCCAGGGCTAGCGCACTTACCTTTCCCTGCTAATCCTGAAATGCATACCAATTTTCCCTTACCTCCTTCAGGCCTTTGCTCATCACATGATCTAAAACAGTGGCTCCCATCCCCTCTGTCATTCTCCTTTTCACCCTGTTTTCTTTTGAGCACTTATCATCTGATGACACTATTCTATGCATTTATGTCTCTGCTCCCCAACTGTAAACCCAGGACTTTGTTGTATATACTGCTGTAACCCAAACTCCAGAACAGTACAGGCTTAGAATGTAGTAGGTGCTCATTATCTACAAATAATGAATGAATGAATGGATGAACATCCATTGAAGACAACTTAGTATCTATTAAAACTTAGAATGCACATACTTAGTAATTCCCCTTTAGGCATTTATCTAATAGCTATCCTTGCATATGTGCAAAACAGAATGTACAAGGTTATTTCCTGTAGCACTGTTTGTAGTCATGAAAGGAGAAAACAACGACAATTTTTTTTTTGGGGGGATGGGATTTCACTCTTGTTGCTCAGGATGGAGTGAAATGGTGTGACCTTGGCTCACTGCAACCTCCACCTCCCGGGTTCAAGTGATTCTCCTGCCTCAGCCTCCCGAGTAGCTGGGATTACAGGCATGTACCACCACACCTGGCTAATTTTGCATTTTTAGTAGAGATGGGGTTTCTCCATGTTGGTCAGGCTGGTCTCGAACTCCTGACCTCAGGTGATGCGCCCGCCTTGGCCTCCCAAAGTCCTGGGATTATAGGTGTGAGCCACCGTGCCCAGCAACCCAAGGACAAATTTTAAAATAAGTTACCTATAGCCAGGCGCAGTGGCTCGTCTGTAATCCTAGCACTTTGGTAGGCTGAGGCGGATCACTTGAGCCCAGGAGCTCGAGACCAGCCTGGGCAACATGGTGAAACCCTGTCTCTACAAAAAATACAGAAATTAGCCAGGTGTGGTGACAGGCACCTGTATTCTCAGCTACTTGGGAGGCTGAGGGGGGAGACTCACTTGAGCCCAGGAGGTTGAAGCTGTGGTGAGCCGTGATCATGCCACTGCACTCCAGCCTGGGTGACAGTGAGACCCTGTCTCAAATAAAAAATAAACTACCTATATCTATACAACAGAATAAAGGAATACTATGTAGATATGGAAAAATCTCTAATTCAGAAAATTATTTGGCTCCCTTTGGCTACTATATGTATGAGATCTGACTATTTCAAAACTCTGGTGATATCACAAGAATGAGCTCCCTTTTAATGAAGCGCTTACTGGTAAGGAGAGTGGAAGTGAACAGGTAGAAACAGTGAGTAATTATTTTCAGTTTTATTTAATAAACATCAATTTCCTTGTAGAAAACAGAATTTCTACCAATTATACAATACTGTAATAAGGATAAACGTATCAAATCACAGACATTGTTAAACGAAGATGCCTTCTTGCAGATCCAATCATGAACAGACCTAAACTGGCAGTGCCTATTGTTCATTTATTACGGGTGGATTTCCCATTTTACAAACAAACCTTTTATTTAAGGGAAGAGGTTCAGCGTTTCACAATGTCTTTAATATATAATTTCCTGATACCGGAGGGGCAGAATTCCTCTCTGTCCATCAAGTGACATCTGCTTGCAGCTGTAGGGAATTTTGCAGGGCACGCTTTTCCAGAGATAAATACATATAAAGATATAACACATACGAGGTAATGCTCTGGTAAGCATATATGCCCCCCAATCTTGTCAAACTATAATTTGCTTATCGTTCCTCAAAAAAAATTGTTTCTTGTCCCTTTACTACTTCCCCTCTCCTTTTCAGTTGCTCTCATTAGGAATCCACACAAGCATATACCTAACCACTACTGTGTCAAGGGCCAGGCCAACTCCTATCTCTTTACCAGAGGACAAAGCCTTCCCTTACTATTCTACTCTACAGTAATATACGATCTGGCCTTCTTTAGCCTTTATCATGCATTTGCTCTAAGGTTTTTGTTGCTTAATACTGCTAATTAGTTTTTCACAAGTTTTGACATCTTCAGTTAGATTGTAAGCTCCTTTTTTTTTTTTTTTGAGACAGAGTTTTGCTCGTCACCCAGGCTGGAGTAGAATGGCGCGATCTCGGCTCACTGCAACCTCTGCCTCCCGGGTTCAAGCGATTCTCCTGCCTCAGCCTCCCGAGTAGCTGGGATTACAGGCACCCGCCACCACGCCCGGCTAATTTTTGTATTTTTAGTAGAGACGAGGTTTCACCATGTCGGCCAGGCTGGTCTCCAACTCCTGACCTTAGGTGATCCACCCGCCTCAGCCTCCCAAAGTGCTGGGATTACAGGTGTGAGCCACCGCACCCGGCATGATTGTAAACTCCTTAAAGGCAAATTCCTTTATTCTGTTTTTCACACATTCCTCCTGCACCTACCTAGTAGATGCTTTAAATGTCCTGGTTTTGAAAAGTAACATGGTCAATCCCCTATAACCCCACATATGTATTTAGTATTCTTTAAAGCTTTTTCCAGAACCAGTCTGGTAATAAACATGGATATTCTGCTGGCCCGATGCACGTTTTGAGGGTTTGGTATCATAACTCATCGGCTGACTCTGACACGGATGTTCTGCTGGCCTGATGCATGTTTTGAGTGGTTGGTGTCAGAACTCATCGGTTGACTCTGTGTCCCAGCCACAGGACTGCTGTTGATCGTCCTGTGGGAATTCAACCTCAATGTCATAAACAAAATTTGGATCATCCTTCTTCTTCTGATTTTTCTCAAAAAGTTCATCCATGATGCTCTTCCTTTTGGCAAGCTCCTTGTCATCTAGTTTGTTCAGGTCTTCCTCAGGATCAATGGTTGTTTCCCTTCGAATTTGTTCCATTGTTTCTGCCAAACTCTGCCCTGACAGGTAACCTCGTAAAAAACTGAATAGCTTCTCTAGCTGCCTCAGGGATACTTGTTCTAGGTAACTCTTGTGTCGAGGATTATTCTTTAATTGTTCAGCAGCTCTGGTGCAATCTGGGAGAGAGAAGAAAACTATATACCACATACATACCACATACATCATATACGCCACAAACTACTGCAACAGCCAAAATAGAACAAAAACTCTGAACCCTGAAAGCATTATCTCCATTATAGTCAAGTAGCTAAATGGCTTGATTGAAATGAATTATTTTGTAGAACTATTCTTTTTTTTTTTTTTTTTTTGAGACGGAGTTCTTGCTCTGTCGCCCAGGCTGGAGTGCAGGTGGCCGGATCTCAGCTCACTGCAAGCTCCGCCTCCCGGGTTCACGCCATTCTCCGCCTCAGCCTCCCGAGTAGCTGGGACTACAGGCCGCCCGGCACCACGCCGGCTAATTTTTGTATTTTAGTAGAGACGGGTTTCACCGCCTGCTCTGCCAGGATGGTCTCGATCTCCTGACCTCGTGATCCGCCCATCTCGGCCTCCCAAAGTGCTGGGATTACAGGCGTGAGCCACCGCGCCTGGCCGAACTATTCTTTTATATTGAGCTTTCAGTGTGGTGGGAGAAGGAGAGATATAGTTTCGACTTCTTTAACTTAAAAATCACTTTGTAGAGATATTAAACACTTTCAACTGGAGAATATGTCTGAGAAGAAAAGTGATATTATAGCTTTTAGATAGCAGTAGTGGTATTAATAAAATATTAAGACTACCAATAAAAAACATTTGGAAGGAGAGAAGGGAATTAATATTATTGCATAATGCTATATCATTTAACCTAGGTAGCAATCCCAAAAAGATTATTAATTATCAAACTGGAAAAAAAAATTCCCTTTTATAGATTAGGAAACTGAAACTCATTGACAGTAAGTAATTGATCCAGTGTCTCACATCCAGTCCCTGACAGAGTCATGATGTGAACCTGTATTTAGAGAATATTTAAGACAGGAGGCAAGATAAGACAAAAGTTACCTGAAAACTTTGAAAAGTTTCGAACTGGCATAATGCGCTGGCGAATTTTCCCCTTGATTTCACTCTCATAGATTAAGACAATAGCTGGAGGCTGAAACCTAATCCCACATTTCTTGGCAGTGCACATCATTCCCACGTACATGTCAGGGTAAGTCAGAGGAAATCTGATGAAAATGTGTAAGTTGCATAATGACTTCCTGCTACAGGGAAAAAACAACTAGGTGTTGGATAAATGTCATTCATTCCCCTCGCCCCTTTGCCCCAGAAGATCCGATTCTAGTCCAGCTCTGGCCACAGATGCTCAGCCTGTGAAGCTCAATATTTTTTTAAAATTAAAATGTGGAATCTTCATGAATTTGTGTGTCATCCTTGCGCAGGGGCCATGCTAATCTTCTCTGTATCATCCCAATTGTGGTGTATGTGTGCTGAAGCGACCACAAAGAGAGCTTCCTATTTTGAGAGCTGCCCTGAAGGTTCAGTTTGGTCCTGGGTTAGTTTCAATCTGTTGGATCCCTAAGGCTCTCTGGTGTTCTCAAGGATATAGACTTGTTCATATGTGAATCTGGGGATGCAATCCAGTGTGAACCTCTTAGTGTACTGCACTCTTACCGAAGATTGAATATGAACCCCTAAGTCAGTCCAATAGCTGACCTATAGGGTCTTTACTATTTATCAATTAAAAAAGGGCATATCAAGCATCCTCGGTATCAAGGTACTATGAGTTTTTTAACCTTAATCATTTTGTCCTGAGAGGTTCACCAGTCCAGAGCTGTCTCCTTTGTACTTTCCCAATTATTTTACTAGAGTTTTTCGTTATAATTTATTTAATCATCTATCTTTCCTTCTAGTCAATATGGTCTATGAGGGTGGGGGCATATTCATTTTTCACCACAATATCTCAGCATAATACCTGGGAAGTAGTAGGCATTCCATACATTGTTTAATGCTATGAATTAAAATGATGGTACCTGTACATTTTCGTAAGCATTTACAGTCTAGAAGCCTGATCAAAAAGCAGACCTGATGCAGAATCAGCTTCTTCATATACAAGTCAGTGATGTCTGCACAGCTTTTATTTTGGCCTACGTGTCTCACTATATGATATTCTTCTAGCTACAAGAAGCACAGCTATTAGTAGATGAATACTTACTATTCTCTCTTCCTTTCCCCACCCTCAATGCCCAAATAATACACTTAATCTCCTAAGCAGTGCTTTAGATGTGACTATGACATTCTCAGAAAGATTTGTAAATGTTAAGAAACATTGAGGTAAAGTGGCATAGGGTGATGATATCTTCGTGAACTCAGTTCTGCTGAAGAATCACTATTAGGAACATACTTTTAATAAAATACTTAGCAGTGATTATACACCTTCATTGTAGAATACTGGGGGCAAAGGAGAGGGGAAACATATAGAAAATAATCACCCTTAATTGTGTCCAGTCTTTTTTCTAGGCATATAGTTTAAGTATGTTTCACACATGGTCGTACAAGCTATTTCCTGAAGTTCAAATTTAACAACATATGTTATTATTTTGTCATTAAATGTTTTACTACAATGTAACATTTTATACGACTGCTAAGTGTTGTATTTTATGGATGTGCTAAAATCATATTATTCACACTTATTGTTGGACATGAGAATTTTTACTCTTAGAAAATTAATCACGTATAAGCCCAGGCACAGTGGCTCACCCCAGTCAGCACTTTGGGAGGCTGAGGTGGGCAGATCACTTGAGGTCAGGAGTTCGAGACCAGCCTGGCCAACATGGTGAAACCACGTCCCTACTAAAAATCCAAAAATTAGCTGGGCATAGTGGCAGGTGCCTGTAATCCCAGCTACTCGAGAGGCCGAGGCAGGAGACTCACTTGAACCTGGGAGGTGGAGGTCACAGTGAGCCGAGACGGTACCACTGCATTCCAGCCTGGGTGACAGAGCAAGATTCCATCTCAAAAAGATGGAGGCAGGCATGGTGGCTCAGGCCTGTAATCCCAACACTTTGGGAGGCCAAGGAGGGAAGATCCCTTGAGGCCAGGAGTTTGAGACCAGCCTGGGCAACACAGTGAGACCATGACCATGTCTCTACAAAAATTTAAAAATTGGCCAGGCATGGCAGCATGCACCTGTAGTCCCAGATACTCCAAAGGCCAAGGTGGGAGAATCGCTTGAACCCAGGAGTTTGAGGCTGCAGTGAGTTGAGATGGTGCCACTGCACAACAGCCTCTCCAAAGCGTGATAAGCCTATTCTAAAAAAAAAAAAAAACTTTAAAAAATTACTGTGCTCTACCTCTAATCTGATGCAATGATCCCACACCATTTTCTCCTTCTTTTCCTTCTCTTTTCTTTTTTTTTTTTTTTTTTTTCCCCAACGAATACTACTCCCAATTCACCTAACTAAAATTTGATGTTAGTAAACTACAACCTACTGGGCACAATATAAACTACACACACTGACGCAATGGCTGTACTCCTCAAAGATGTATGCAGTTGGTGCTCAATGTAGTTTTTTTTACTAGACTCTTTTTAAAATTTAACTTTAATTTTTGTTGAAGTAATGTTTGTATTTGGAATATAAAATAATTCTATAAGGCTTATAACAACAAACTATAGTCCTTGGCCCTACTCCTCTTCATACGGAGCCAGATGAATTTTAAAAAGCATGCCTTCCAAAATTTCTCTCTCCATTTCTTAAGAAACATGCTTATACTACCATTTTGTTTTTATTTTTTTGAAACAAGTCTCGCTCTGTCGCCCACACTGCAGTGCAGTGGTGTGATCTCGGCTCACTGCAACCTCCACCTCCCGGGTTCAAGCGATTCTCGTGCCTCAGCCTCCCGAGTAGCTGGAATTACAGGTGCCTACCACCACGCCCAGCTAATTGTTGTATTTTCAGTAGCGACGGGGTTTCGCCATGTTGGCCAGGCTGGTCTCGAACTCCTGACCTCAGGTGATTCGCCCAAAGTGCTGGGACTATAGGCGTGAGCCACCTTGCCCGGCTATTTTCAGTTTTGGATAGTATCTTTTGACATACATTGTTTCCCCTTTGAGACACCAGCTCTAGAGCCCTCTATTCCACTCCAAGCCGCCTGTGCTCTCGTGGCCTGCTTACAGATTCCACTCTGTTCAGGAAGAAGGAGGCCACGTTTATACAGTTATTCTTCCTGGACACGAATACTCCTCTCTCCAGAGATCAGGAACTGCCTACAATCTTGTTAGGAAGCCCCACAGCACCTAAGGGTACGGATGTCCCCAAACGGTAGACGATTCTCTCCCTACTCACGTCTCCACTAGTGCAAGGCTGGCTTTCTTACCCTTAGAGAAATACAGAAATGACATCTTCTGCAGGCCAACGTCTAAACACCCAGGAGTGGGTTTTTCCACCCAACCGCAGCGCACGGAAAGCACCTAAGCCGACTTTGAGGCCGGGCGGAGCCTGGCGCTGCAGGAAGAGGCCACAGCCACAGCGCTACTGACGAGCCCGAGGGGTGAACTCCCCGGCCAGAGGCCCGAACCCTCAAACACCGGGAAGCGGAGGTGGGGCCGGCCGGGGGCACGGTCCACCGGCTCCCACCTCGGCGTGCAGGGATTCCGGGGGGCGCTGGCCGAGCCGTTTCCACAGCAACAGGCCGGGCGCGTCCCCGCGCGTGCGCAGCTCCTCGCCCGCCCCCGGGTGGGCGGAGAGGGGAACGGCGGGGCGGGGACGGCCGCCTCACGCCGCGCGGGAACCTGTGGGGGCCGGGGCTACAGGCCGCGGGGAACCGCGGGCGCCAGGCGCGCACCCAGCCCTCTGTCCCGGCCGGTAAATCTGGGGCAGCGCGCGGTAGGAGCTGCGGGCAGCCAGGCCCCTTCCTGCGTCCGCACCTGGCCCCGCGCGCCCCTCTCGGGCGTCCGGCCTCCGGCGTCCTGGCGGCTCGGGTGGCGGCGGTTCGGGCGGTCGCCTGGCTGCTCCTCGGGGCGGCGACCGGGCTCACGCGCGGGCCCCCCGCGGCCCTCAGCGCCGCGCGCTCTGACGCGGGTAAGGGGCGGGGCTGCGGAATGCGGGCGGGGCTTGGGGGCCGGAGCGTGGGGAGCGGTCGCGGCTCCCCGGCCTCTCCGCGGGTTGCGGGGATGTGGGGACCCGGCGCGGGACTTAGATCAGCAGGGCCAGCCGGAGGAGGTCAAACACTAGCGCCGCGTGCCCTCCTCCCGCCCCCGGCGCTCCCGTGCGCTTTGCTCTGCGGCGGATCCCGGGTCTCCGGAGAGTGGGGCTCGGGCCCTGCGGTTCCCAGGCTGGACTGGCCGCCCTGTCACTAAGGTTCTGAGAAGGAAAGTCAGCCGTCAGGCGTCTTGGGACGCTCTTGGGTTGCACGAAGCTTCTGATCACCAAGGGGCCAGCAAGGCCTTAGCGCCCTGTGAGGCCTGAGAATGCCTAAACCGAATATAGGACTGCGTGCAAACTGCTAGTTGTTCGTGCAAGTAGTAGTTGGCAAACTGCTTGTACTACTGAGGCAGGCAAGTGCGGGAATAATTACAATAAAGTGGTAAGGTTTGACGGGAGGAAAGCACAAACCCGGCAAGTTTCTCCATCTGTAAAATGAGGATGTTTCTGTCATCCTTGGTACCATTTAGATCCATTTAGTATGTGTCAACCAGTGCAGTACTGCTTGTGTGTTTACATACTGGGTTTTCAAGTTTATCTAAACAAAGGATTATGAGGCCAAGAATTTCTTTTTTTTTTTTTTTTTTGAGATGGAGTCTCACTTGCCCAGGCTGGAGTGCAATGGCGCGATCTCGGCTCACTGCAACCTCCGCCTCCCGAGTTCAAGCAATTCTTCTGCCTCAACCTCACAAGTAGCTGGGATTATTACAGGCGCCCGCCACCATGCCCAGCTAATTTTTTGTATTTTTAGTAGAGACGGGGTTTTGCCATATTGGTCAGGCTGGTCTTGAACTCCTGACCTCAGATGGTCCACCCTCCTCAGCCTCCCAAAGTGCCGGGATTACAGGCGTGAACCACCATGCCCGGCCAGAAGAATTTTTAAACAGCTGGATTTGGTCATCTCTAGAGGCTTCCAGCATTGGCATTTTATAATTTAAAAGGGGTCAAAATTAGCCGGGCCTGATGGCGTGGGCCTGTAATCCCAGCTACTCGGGAGGCTAAGGCAGGAGAATCGCCTGAACTAGGGAGGCCAAGGTTGCAGTGAGCTGAGATCGCGCCGTTGCACTCCAGTCTGGGTGACAGAAGGAGACTCTGTCTCAAAAAGAAAAAAAGTAAAAAGGAGTCAATTGGCCGGGCGCGGTGGCTCAAGCCTGTAATCCCAGCACTTTGGGAGGCCGAGACGGGCGGATCACGAGGTCAGGAGATCGAGACCATCCT